CACCCTGTCTGCTTTCAAGAGAGTTACAGAATGGTATCAAGGTTGAAGAAGAGGTTTGCCCTCTAGAACATTTACTTTATGTTTTTCTATGAAACCTTGAAACCAGAAGACCTTTTTTTTTTCTTGCCACTTGCTACACATCGGTTTGCCACCATTTATGGCTTTGGCACATAACACATGCATTGCCAAAATGCATCTTGCCCATATTATGCCTTAAGTACAGAAAACATTCTCTCAGTGCATTTTCCTTTTTGTCCATCCAGTAAAACTAGCAACGTTTTAAAAGTAGTAACAGTGTGCAAACCAATGCAGTAGGACTCTGAAGCTTACAGCTTGAAAGCTGTTAATTTGGTAAAAACACAAAAAGTCCAGACTTGCGATACAACTGCAGCACCACCGGATAAGCATGCACAAGATCTCTTAGTGCGGATGAGGCTACATTATTTTTCAAACAAAAGCGATCTAGACAATTGCTGACGATTTTGCATTTTATTAAACACACAGTAAGATGCTTAATTCCACGGCAGATTAGACTGGGTCCGAGAGCTATGTATGTTCTAACTATACAACAGTAAAGCAAAAGAACTATTTTATAGCTGGAATGGTATTACATAACATGCGATGAGGGGTCGGGTCAGATCAGATCCTGCAAAAACTGCATTTTAGTTATGTGAGATGTCTCAGGTGCGCTCTCTGATGTGTCAGGATTGCAGATTTTCATTAGAGCTGAAAACAGCAAGTACTTCGTGTGCCCATCCAAAACGGTTCCCAAGGTTGAAGCAGTATAAAGTCCAAAAATGGAGACACTTCCCAAATAACCTATATTTGGATGACTTTGGTTTGGTTATGTGACTCTCAGGACACCACAATACATCTTCCCTCCCTTTGCTTCTGCCTATCGGTAACATCCTTCTTGCAGATAAGTGATGCTGCAAAGAGCACAGCAAGGACGCCTGAGAGCATACCAAGAGAAATGCTGACCCAGAGTTGCACGGAATGTAGAGAAAATGGCTGGCTTGCCTAGGGATAGCACAACGTATTGCCAGATTCACAGTTCTACCCCATCACTGCGGGGCTGCAAATTTATAACGTATGTCATTCTGTGTATGGCAGAAAACAGCACGGTATATAGGCAAGTTCAGGGAAAAAAAGGGGGGAGAGAAGAAAGCCAGCCAACAAATCAGTTTCCTCCAAGGCTTATCATTTCTCTACGCTTTTCTTTATCGTGATTCCACGCAAACAGTAACGCAGACCAAGCTTTCTTCCCTTCCTCCGCCTGAAAATAAAAGCAAGCAACACAGCAAGGTGGTGACACTCTTTTCTAAGGGGAAAATGCTCTTGATTTATAGGCTACTTCATAAGAAATTGCCTGCTATGAAGTGGATTTCCTATTCTATTGTCTCGGGGAGTAACAGGATCCGCTGCCTGCAAACCGAGCGGTAACAGCACCTTTCCAGCTGCAATCCCCTCGCAAAGCGGCACACCGAACCTCTTCGAAGGGGACCAGCCCGTCCTGCGGCTCCCTCTACCTGCCCTAACTGTCCCGCCC